GCTGCTAAACCGCCCCAGCGGCTGACTACAGGAAGCCTGAGGCAGAGTTGCTCTGCCCCTGCTTCCTGGAATCAGCTGCTGATCAGTTTCAGCAGCGGTTGACTTGGGGACACCTGGGGTAGAGCAGCTGGGGTGCTGCCGGGTTGGTCCCCGCAGCGCTGAGGTGCGGAGCTGCGGGGACCTACCCGGCTGCGTCCCAGCTGCTCTGTCCCAGGCGTCCAAATTCAGCGCTGTTGAAACTGATCAGTGGCTGATTTCAGGAAGCACAGGGCAGAGCAACTCTGCCTCAGGCTTCCTGTAGTCAGCCGCTGGTCAGTTTCAGCAGCGGCTGAATCTGGACGCCAGTTCCAACTTACATACAAATTCAACTTAAGAACAAACCTACAGTCCCTATCTTGTACGTAACCCGGGGACTGCCTATATATAGAAACTAAATTTTGTTATAAAACACTGCTTAAAGTAGTTTCCCGGGATACAGGAAACAGCTTCTGCTACCATATTTCTTGATCTAGACTTCACCAAGACTTAATTTGTTTTCAATATCCTATATTTTTCAAGACACCCATCTTACTGCTACCAGTTGTACTATTTCATATGCTAATTAACACAACCAGTGGAACAATTAAGTAAATTATATAAGCCATACACTTAAGTCACAAGCATGAAACTTAATAACCAATTTTATTTTGTTAAAGCTGCTGCTGTTATAAAATTCAGAAATAGTAGAAACCAGTCATAAACATCAGATTCAATAGCTTTTTTAAAAATTAATTATATAGTATATGAATTTTCATCTATTTAAGTGGTTTTTGGTTAAAAAGGATATTATCATGATAATATAATATCGTTGTATTTTGATTTTAGAACTGATATCTGACGCTACAGCTACAGCAGCTGGCTGCTTTTGGATAGCTGTGGGAACAGAGAGTGACTTTTTTAAGAAGGCCTCCAGCTAGATCACATTTACATTGGAGAGGTGGAGGGGAAATGGAATAGATCCAGGTGGTTTATTTAAACTTGCCCTTAGTGCTCTTCTTCCTTGCCTCCAGACTAGTCCAGTATCCTCATATTGAGCAACAGGTTTTTTTATGCATGTAGTTTGAGTACTTCTAAAAAAACAAAACTTTAGTATGTTTGAAAAAAATATGATGTAATATTTCCCAGTATGAAAATACTTGAGAGCTGAACTCTGAAACTATCAAGAAGAATATGCTTGCTCTTGGTTAATCTCTCTTCAATCTCCGAATGACCTGTCAGTAACCAGTGTAAAAATCTCAGAGGGATGGCCATGTTAGTGTGTAACTTTAAAACAACGATTAGTCCTGTGGCATCTTGGGGATTTTCGGGATACCAGAGGTATCCCAAAAAAACTCCAGCGTGTCCAGGGAATACGTTTGCTCTTCCACTGCTTTTTTTTTTCCTCCGAATAGCAAATGTATTCCTCATTCCACAAGAAAGACAGGGGGCTTTTGAGAGAGGATTTTTTCCCGAAATTTGGCCCAGTCTAGACAGGCCAAATTTGCCTCTTTCTTCAAAAGTATCAGAAAAAGATGCGGAAAATGCAGAGCGCATTTTGCATATTTTTTTCTGATAGATCATCACAGTCTAGATGTACCCTTAGGCTACGTCTAGACTG